CATTCAAATACGATTCGGCTGAACATAGGACACATATTACAGCAACCATGGCAAGGGGCTGTTGGGATCCACATTGCTCTCAATGGCCCACTTCTCAATCAAGGCTTCACCTTCGGAGCAATCCATTCACGGAAAGGATATACAGTATATTTATATATATACAGTATATATTAGGACCATCCAGGACCTTCCAACAGGTCACCACCTGCGACTTTTAAGTCCACAAAAGCTTCCGGAGGAGACTTGTTGGAAGGTGCTGGTATATAACAGGCATATCATTCATCAATGCATTCCTTCTTTCATTCGCCTGCCTTCTTTGTGGCTCAAGTTCTTGTCGGCCTTCTGCAGCTGGCGGATGAAGTGGTCCTGCAAAACGCGCCTCTTCACTCGCCAGAAGAAGAAGCGGCGCGAGTCCTCGCGCAAATGAAATCGACCTCCATGCATGTTCACGGCCCACCCACCCTCATCAAGCTTCGAAGACAACAAATTGTAACGTCTAAACTTAAGGGTTGCCCGGGGCACGGTTGGTGGAGACAATGAACCCCTTTCTTGCGAGCGAGGTGCATGCAAAAAAAATGACATAACTGACAACTGTTCTTCTATAGAACTCACATTCTGTTTCACTAGATTCTGATTTAATTACTTGTGTTGCAGTAGTCACTTAGATATTCTTTGATCATCTTTGTGCCAAGGAGACTGCGCCATCTCTTGCATCGGCGTCCTTCCAGGAGATTCCTTCCTTGATGACGCCTTTGGCTTTCATTCGCCCGGCACGGTCGTGCAAGTCCGCGAATGTCGTGGCCACCGAGGTATACAAGGGCAGCAGCTGCTTCTCCCTCGCCTGGTGATTCGTTGAGTTTGATCAGAACATAGCTCGACACCACGGGTTCCAAAGGGCTCAAAATCCGAAACGGGTTTTCGTGTATAGTTATAGATAGTCACTATAGTCCCATGCAACCCTATGATTGGCGCAGGACTCCAAAAATATATAGTACTTTAAACAAAGGATACCAAGTAGATCCAAGTAGTACAGGTGTGGCAAGTACCGTCGAAGCTAACCATGCGAGTAGCATGCAAGTTGTGAGAGTATTATGACATCTCCCCCCCCAAAAAAAAAGAAAAAAAACAACAACACGGTCTTGACATGTCTCGACATGCCAGGGCATCCAATCAGCAATCAATCTTCTCAGGGCCTTGATCTCCTTCTCAAGACTGGGCTTCTCGTCATCACTCACGGATTCCAAGTGAGCATCCATCTTCTGCAGCTTTGGATCAAGGCGATGCATAGTCTCCACCTGAACCCCGGGAGTTGAGCGGAAAATACAAGAAGTCGAAGAGTCGAAAGCGACTCTAGCAACAATGGTAAAACTGTAAGATCCTGTATCGATAATCCATCTCAATGATTTCCGCTTCGGCCACGTCGGCCACATGAACATTTGACACCATGTTTTGGTTCTAGGCACATGTTCTAAAAAGATCTCTAAAGCAACCGGAGGTAACATCATCTAACATCATGTCGACCAAGGTGTTTCTGCATCTTTTTGCCGGTTCGACCACCCACATGTACATATTTGTTGAAAACTTGGCACACTCTTCGGACTTGAACGAGCAGTTCTGGTTGGCCTGCCCTGCCCCACCTGCTGATGTGTACGGAACTTGACCTCCACAATGCCCGGAGGCTCCAAGATGCCTCCACGCGAGTCCAAATCTGCGTACATCTCCATCTTCTCTGGGTTAATGGCAGGGTCAATCACCACCCAAGCGCCACCCCGCAGCTCGCCATGCTTGGGGATGTAGATAAAGATGGGGTGCTGGTACTCCACCAATGCATCAACAATCATGGCACCAAACTTCAAGATCTCGTTGTACATATCACCTCCGAATCTGTGAGAAATGGGAGGTGCCAATCTGTGAGAGGTGGCACAGGCTCAGCATAGGAATGCAAAGGAAGATGTTCTGATGTTCAGGAAACAATTCCCATCGAATGAAACAAGAACGTCTCATGATCACCACACTCATATCATCTCAGATTCGCTCTCTCACATAACCAGCAGCCCTGCACCAAAGAAGGCAAATTGAATCGGACCAAACAAAAAGGACAAAACTCCGGGCCAACCCACCGACCGAGTCACGGGTGCCACCACTGAAGCCTCGCCAGTTGGCAAAGATCATCACCGGCAGATTCTCCCCATGGTTGAAATCCTTAAGCGCCTGGGCCGTCTTGAAGGCGCTGTCTGGAAACCAGACCTTTCCACCCATCGTCTCCTTTGGACGGGAGGCACGCGAAATTCGGTTACAAACAAGTGGCATCAAACACAGAAGGATGCATCACGTTCATTCAGTTTATAGAAGTTCACCTTCTGTCGTTCTAGTGGCCGGCACGAACGCAGAAGATGTCGTACGACTTCCAGTCTTTACAAGTAGTTCCCGGGCAAGCCGGCGGCGGAAGTTTCCTATAAGAACAAATTCACCTATAGGAGTGTCCCGGTTCTTTCCACCATGCGTGTTCCTCGTGTCCCTCAGTCAGACGCATGAGTGATGAGTGATGAGTGAAGCATAGCTCTAGCTCTAGCTCCACTAAAGCTAACTGGAGCTAGACGTTAACTATGATGTGATAGCTTGTCTAGACACGAAGCTAATTAGCTCAAATTTGTCAACCTCTCAAAACACATGTTTTGCGGTCTCCAGAAAGTAATCGAAATGACCACTTTTGAGTAAGCAAAGCTAAACTTTGTCAATCTCTCAAGAGAGCCGGGTGGTCGGGAGACATGGCTCAGCTGCAGGGGCGCCAGAGCAGCCGCGAGAGATGACTCAGCTGCGAGAAATGACTCATCCTCGTACTAAAGTTGTACTAAGTCGCCATTTTCCCATCTTCCAGCTCGCCAGATACTCCGCGTACTAAAGTTGTACTACAAAGTCGCCAGTTCTCAGCTTCCAGCTCCCCAGATACTCCGCGCACTAAAGTTGTACTACAAAGTCGCCAGTTCTCATCTTCCAGCTCGGCTCCACAGATTGCTCCGCGTACTAAAGTTGTACTACAAAGTCGCCAGTTCTCATCTTCCAGCTCGCCAGATACTCCGCGTACTAAAGTTGTCCTACAAAGTCGCCAGTTCTCAGCTTCCAGCTCCATTGCTCCGCGTACTAAAGTTGTACTACAAAGTCGCCAGTTCTCAGCTTCCAGCTCCACAGATTGCTCCGCGTACTGAAGTTGTACTTGAAAGTCGCCAGTTCTCATCTTCCAGCTCGCCAGATACTCCGCGTACTAAAGTTGCACTACAAAGTCGCCAGTTCTCAGCTTCCAGCTCCACAGATGCTGTGCCTGCCACGAAATCTGCACATGGAGGTTCACAAAGTGCTGTGCCTGC